AGACAAAACTCCATGCCTGACTGCAACAGTTTATTAGAAGCAGAGACTAACAAGTCAAATGAAGAAATGGAGCAGCAGAACTAGCTGGTGTTTGCTGGTGTTTTCCACACGGGTTGAGTATGAATATTAGGAACTGAAGCTCAATATATCTGAAGGCCATCACTCAAGGAAGGCCAACTCAGTCCAGAAAAGCAATTCTCATCTGAAAATTCAGAATGCCTTTTTTGAAATGTTGTATACTCAAATATTTTAAAATAGGCTCTGTGAAGTCAGTGGAGTAGTGGTACGATATGATATAACTGTGATGGCGAACCTATGGCACGTGTGCCACAGGTGGCACGTGGAGCCATATCTGTGGGCACGCATGCTGCTGCCCTAGCTCAGCTCCAGCACGCATTTCCCTCCCAGGAGTCTCCACCCAGCCCGTTTTGGATGCCGGGTAAGTACAGGGCTTGTGCAAAGGCTCTGGGAGGGTGTTTTCAACCTCCGGAGGGCATCCGGGAGGCCGGGCGAGGACATTTTTGCCCTTCCCAGGCTCCAAGAAAGTCTCTGGAGCCTGGGGAAGGCAAAAAACGGGCCTTCCAGGTGAACCACTAACCTTTTTGCCATCGCGTGCCAAAAGCGTGGGGAGTGGGGGGGGGTTTGCGCATGCATGCGTGGGGTGGGGTGCGGGGGGGCATTGAATTATGGGTGTGGGCACACCCACGCATGACCCCCTTGCACTCCCCCTGCTTTTGGCATGCAACAGCAAAAAGGTTAGCCAGCACTGTGATATAAGGATTGGATTTTTTCATAGCAGGAGGAATGATGGCATTATTTGCCTTCTTGTAATGAAAAGTGAATGGGATGCTGCCTTAACTTTCAAATAAGGCAGCATAGAGACAACCAGGAAACAGACCCAAGGAGTGGCTGGATCTTTTTTTTTAATAGCATACCTATCTCAGAGTAGAAAATAAATACAGGTAATCCTCAACACAATTGAGCCCATAATTTCTGTTGTTAAGTGAGACATTTGTTAAGTGAGTTTTTGCCAAATTTTACGACTTTTCTTGCCACCATTGTCAGATGCATCACTGCAGTTGATCAGTTAGTATCAAGTGAATCTGCCTTCCCCAAGATCGCAAAAGGGGATCACGTGACCTCAGAACACTGCAACCGTCATAAATATGAGTCAGTTGCCAAGCATCCGAATTTTGATCCGATGATCATGGTGATGCTGCAAAGGTCGTAACTATGAAAAATGGTCATCCGTCACATTTTTTCAGTGCCGTTGCAACTTTGAACGTCACTAAATGAACTGTTGTAAGTCGAGGATTGCCTGTAATAGCTCACTTAATAGTACATCTTTGTAAGATGGCTTGCACTTTTAGTTTAATTTTTCATAGCTCAATGAACTTAACATATTGAACTTCTGCAGACGAAAGTACTGTAGTTCAATGGAATTTAAGACTGAGTCTCCTTTGAATTTGACTTGATTCAACACACTTAGGAGGTTTGTAATTTCCTTGGCACTTATGAGCTGTCATTGTCATTTTGTGGATCCCTGCCCCAAATTCCAAGTCTTAACCAAGAACTCCAATGTTCTCCATCAAATTACTGGCTGGTCTGAATTTGCCTAGCATTTTGAGATCAGCCAGAGATGGCTAAGTGACTGTGTGTATCTATTTATTCCTATGTAAGTATACAGTATTCGTTGTTGGGATACCATGGGGTTTTTCCACAAAGTTGCTTCATTGAATATAAATAAAGTTAAATGTTAAAAAGTTAATGAAAGTGTTTAACCATTGCTGGGAATGCTCAAACTTTTAAAAAAGGCCATTTCTTCTGATTGGTTAGTTTCCTGCAGGATGTCCTATTCTTTTCATGGAATCATATTGGTGTTTGCATATTCTCTGTGTTTCCCTGGGGTAAAAGTTTACAGAAAGCAGTACTGGCAATATATATATAAACACACTGAATTGGTTGTTTAGGTATTGTGTTCAAGGGTGATTTGCTATTTTCAGACTTACATGGAATTGTAATGTTTTTCAAACAATTCATTGCTAGGTAGACTATGTTTCTCTGCATTTTTTACTTTTGCAATTCAGAAGATGAATTTTTGCATGGACAAAGTGGCGCCACGAAACATGTTTTGGCAGATGTGTCAACTGGTCAAGAACAAAGTCAGATACAATTCTATTCATGTTCTAGGTTTAGTTTAGGGATAACTGACTAAGTCAATATCAAAGCTGATACAAAAATTAGGGATCATATCATTATTTGTCATAGGCATACAGAAAAACTTGCACTGGCTAATCCTATTTTTTCTAAATGATTGAACTTCTAATTTTTACAGATATTTATCTAACTTTATTACTTTAACTGCATTTTTGCTGGGAACTGAACAAGCTACATGCTCGGTGTCTGAGAATTACCTACAGACCAGAGGTGGGTTTCATCAGGTTCTGACCAGTTCTGGAGAACCGGTAGTGGAAATTTTGAGTAGTTCGGAGAACTGGTAGTAAACATTCTGACTGCCCCCCGCTATCTATTCTCTGCCTCCCAAGTTCCAGCTGATTGGGAGGAAATGGGGATTTTGCAGTAACTTTCCCCTGGATTGGGGATGGAATGGAGATTTTACAGTATCCTTCCCCTGCCAGCCCACCAAGCCATGCCATGCCCACCAAGCCACACCCACAAAACCGGTAGTAAAAATTTTTGAAACCCACCACTGCTACAGATAAACAACCAATAATAAAGGAGTAGTTATGTATGCTATAGACTTTTTTTGCATTAGTATAGGGATAGTATAGGCTGTCCCCCACCCACAATCTCTATGTAATCCAGAGGAAATGGTGTTAAAATATTGGATGAATTTTAATCTAATTCTCTGATTTTCCATAAAATCGGTCTTTTTCATTCCTTTTCTTAAAGATGGTCACCAGATCTTGAGGCCATTTTTGCATTAAGATTCATTATATATAGCATTTAATATGTTCCATAAAGCATTTCAAACTGTACTTGAAACAAATTTTGTCTCAGCAAATAAAATATTTCAAATGCCTTTGAGCAAAAAAAATAAAATAAAAAGCAAAACATAATGAAAATGTGGTTCCTGTAAAAAAAAAATCTTCCTCCTAAAAATGTTTTTTTTTAAAAAAGAAATCTATTCTGGTTTGGCCTTAATCCGATTAAGGCTATTTATTACTAAACACACAAGGACACACTTTGTTTTAGATGTTCTTCAGGGATGAAGAACATCAAAACAGTTTGTGCACTCCTCAGAGACACTAGCAGTTCTTCTCACAGTGGTATGCCTGCAGAGAAAAGACAAATCTAATTCTGGAGGAGAAATTGAACAGGTTTGGGTATAAAACTATTTGGGTCAAAGCATATTATTTTTTTGAGTATTGTATTTCATTTTCTGCAATTGTCTCCTTGATCCCTTCTGCTCCTTCCTGATTAAAACCAGTCATTATGCAGCAGTTTTTATCCTAATCGAGTCTCTTATTAATTCCTTGGAGAAAAAAAATGTTTCCTCATAATTAAGGCTAATATGAGACCAAGCATATCACATAATCTTAATTGGATTTATCCTTAGAGTACTTCCTAATGATAACTTTAGAGACTCCAACAGCCCTTGACTCTTTCATAAAAATGTAGAGTTCGTGATTTAACTGATAATATATCTGAGTTGTGAACCAGGACATTCCATCTTCAAATCTCTCCATAGTTATACAATTTTGGCAACATGTGTACTAAGATTGGAATAATGCAGGAAGATTTGCATGATCACATATGCACTGTGGCTGTTTTGAGTGTACAAACATTGTCAATTGCTTAGAGTTCCAGAGGATTTAGCTGTATACAAGTTGAACAAACAAACAAACAAAAAAAAAACCACTGAGTTTTAGATCCCTCTTAGTTTGAGTTTAATTATATAGAAAAGATGGCCCAATGTCTGTCAAATGGATATATTTTGGTCAGTTCACCTTTACTATTTATCTTACTATTGTGCTTTGTGCTCTTTTTCCAGATGGCACCCGGGATTGTTTATAGTTAGTTCAATGACAGTTTAATTATTTGATTTTTGATTCTAAAGGATAGCTGTTAGGGAGAAGTGGAGAGGATATGAATATGAATTCTTGTGTGGTTGTAAAGAAATGTAGAATTAACTTTGGAAACAGAGAAGGATTCAGTGAGTCATTAGAGGAAGACTTGCAGAAAAGATTACACTGTCCTGAAAGAAACTCAAACTTGTGGTTTTGAAAACAAAACAAGGTTTGTTTTTACTGTAAGATGGGATCCGCAGAAGCTTAGTAAAGTCTGTAAGATTTGGTTATTATCTTACTAAAATAAAGGGCATCGTTGTCTAAAGGAAAGAGGAAAAAGGAAATGGAAGAGCAGCTAAGAACAGATGTGTTGCAATGGCATTGATGGTGGAGGTATGAAGAGAGAAAGTGAGATAATGGGGAAGCTGAAAGGTCACAGGTAGTCCTCGATTTACAACAGTTCATTTAGTGACCATTCAAAGTTACAATAGCACTGAAAAAAGCGATTTATGATCGTTTTTCACACTTAGAACTGTTGTAGTATCCCCACGGCCACATGATCAAGATTCAGACGCTTGGAGACTGGTTCATATTTATATCAGTTACAGTGTTCCAGGGTCACGTGATCCCCTTTTGTGACCTTGTGATAAACAAAGTCAATGGTGAAGACTGCTTCACTTAACAACCATGTTACTAATTTAATAACTGCAGCGATTCACTTAACAGCTGTGGCAACAAGTTGTTAAGTGATGCCAAAATTCAAATGACTTACTTAGCAACAGAAATTGTGGTTGTAAGTCAGTATTTGGGGGATGACAGCTCTGGTCCTCACTGCTGAGTTATGTTTGCTCATAAGCCACTGGAGAAAGAGATGTACCTGCTGGTGGCCAAAGATCTGAACAACTTAATTGTGACTGCTGGGGATCATGAAGAAATGGGTGGCAGCTACCATTGTCATCCCAGAACAGAAGTGGCCAAAATAGAGACAAAGATGAATGAAAACGTGTGGAATGAACCATGGCAACATATGTGTGTTGAGAAAAGTTGGTGTGGCTAAGATCAAATGTACTACAAGATATGAGGCATCTTGTTTTGATCGTGACTCTTGTTTTGAGCATGAGACTGATTTTGAGGCAGTTTCTCTTTCCTTTTTTTTTTTAATAAAAAAAATCCTACAGTCAAAACCTAAATTCAATGATGATTTACAGCATGGCAAACCTAAATAAATGGAAAACACAGTTTCTAACAATATCAGAGATGCGGCTGTTCTGTTCCTGTAGTAATTTCAATATCCTTTATTGTTTATTGTAATTGTTTCATGAAGCTTATCAATTAAATATTTACCACCCTCAAACATTACCACTAAGAGTCTTGTGAGAGGAAAAGGAAGAAGCTGGTAAAACAGAGAACACAGAAATCTTCTCAAATGGATTTGTATTTCCTACTTTACAGTACCTTATTTTCAATTACTCTGTGGGAATGGATGTTTTCTTGATTTTTCATTTATTGTATTGTTTATTGTATGTTCATTTACAGTTAAATGCCCTTCAATCCCTGACATGCTTCAGTGGCTCTTCTTATAATCCTGACCCTAACTGATGCCTCTCTGCTTCTCTTCCTTTAAATTCACAAAATGTACAGTCCTTCAAAATCACCAAGATTAGCTTTAAGCCATCTTGGGTTTATGAGAGGAAAGAAAAGAGAGAAAGGAAAAGAGATACTTGGTTGACTGAGTTGAATGTCTAATTCCTTAGCTTCAGAGAGTGTTAATATAAGGCAACTGGCAGTTGGAACAGAGTTCTTTTCAGGTGGGGAGTGGAAGTAGAATGTCTAACTCCTTTTATATAAAAAGATAAGAAAAGTCCATTCCTCCATTTTGAGAGTAAGCCAGTTGTGCATGCAATACAGCTAAGATAGTTTTTGCATTAAATGCGCATTTAATTCCTCTGAATATACCTCATACCTAGATTTCACTATGCAGGAAACAGAATGTAGTAAATAAAACATCTTCTATCTCTTTCTAGGTTAAAGGCTGACTCATCTCACTATTGAGGCCTCCATCCATTTCCTCAGCTCATACCACATATAACCCCTAGACTATGTGAGAAAATGCTGCAAATTGAGCCTAAGACAGCATTGTGGCACAAACCAGCCATGGAATCAAAACCTCATCCAGTACAAAACAAACATGATCTCAGAGTTCCAAAGTCTTGTCTCAAATATCAGGTTTTGTAATTTCTGTAATTCTAGCCGCCGTCTAATATTGTTGTATGCTTGTTTCTTTATTTCTAAATAAACCTAAACTCTTGTACCCCCACAAGATTCTAATCTCAAGTGTCCATCAATTACTGGTATATATTTATATTTATATATATATATTTCCTGCTTCCAGGGCAATTGGTCATAATCATATAATGTATAATAGGGAACAACACAAGTTTGCATTATGGATTTAGTTTCCTTTGAGAGTTTTGAAGCTTGACAAAACAGATAAGGGAGGTCTAGAATGATATGAAGTTACACAATAAAATACAACACTACTGTAAGATTCTTCAAGGCCAAACAGGAAGAAGGAAACTAATATTCAAACATCAACATTCAGAGACAGGCACCAATAACAGTTTATTACACAGCATTGTACAATACTGAAATTTAATATAGCAATTTTCTCATGATATGTTGACTGGAAATGAATTCCGTGTCAGTTGATATGTATATGAGTATAGATTGTGTCATTTATTAAACACTGCAGTATTTTTTACCTACCAAAACATTTCCTTTAAGGCATGTACCAAAATCCCTGCTAAATGTTTATGTTCTCTGTAGATCTGAGAGTTCTAATAACCTCTGTGGATGAGAGGCTACCAGCTCTACTGTATAAGGGAATGGAAAACAAGCGTGACTTGAATGTGCTCATTCCTGACACTATTAACTATGGGAGAAAGACAAAGGACATTATATTGCCTGATCCTTGAAAATGCAAATTATTCTATCAGCCAGGTAAATGAAATGTGTAGACCGGCTGTCCTCAAGAAATCTGAATGATTTTGTTCCAACCATTTGAAGGAAGCTACTGTAGTACTTCTAAGAAGCCAATTACTAAAAAGAGAATGTATTTTTAAAAGGTTTGATGACCGGAATCAATCCCCTAAAATAATAACAAAAACCCTCCATCATAATACTACTTGTATAGCACAATAACTATAAAATATTTTTTGAGATAGACCTTCCTATCACGAAATCTAGTTTCACAAATGAAAAGTTTTTTTAATTTTATTTTCTCATGGCCACATTTTACACCAATCCCTGACAGTAAAATATTTTTTCTAGACATATAGCCTCTCCTTTCTCTTTCTCAATATTATGTTCATTCAATTTCTTTAAAATACTCTCATTATGAATGTACTGTTCAACTGCAGTAGATACCAAAGATGATTTCCACCAGTCACTTATCTGGTGACTTCTCATTTCTTCCTTTTAATCCTCTTTAACCGTTGCTGCTTGAAACAGAGGGGAATGGGAGAAAGGTGGACCACAAATATATCAGGCAAGACTTCTAGCTCTCCATCTCATCTGATTTGTTGTGGAATGAAGATTGTCTGGATCAGATAAAGTAAATTGCTTATTCAAAGCAACCACTATTTAAATTTTTACTAAAGGTGTCCTCTTCAGCACTGTGATTCTGCCACCTTGTTCCCTTGGAATAGTTTGCTCAGTAAACATGAAAACAGGCTCGTTTTGAATGAAGTACACACACCAGAAATCAAAACTGGAAGGATCTGGAATTCTGTAGCAGTTTAGCTCATTCTACAAGTGGGGATAAAGTCCAGGATGTAATGTTCTGTGGACATAAGCCAAATAGATAACCAGGCACTCAGAAGATACTTTTTGTGAGCTGTAGCATTCTTATCACATGCTGACAGCAGATGTGTTGCTACCATATCTTTGCTGACAATTTACCAATGCCTGCTCAGGGCTCAACCTAATCTTGAAAACTGCCAGATAATCCGGCTGCTTTTCCTATTGCGTTTAGCCTGTGTTCCTCAAAAGCAGAGTCCAAACAGCGACAAGGAGGCCGATCTCACTCGGCACCATTATGATGCATAGGGTGTGTCCAAACCCTATAAATAATCACCGTGGTTGCTGGGCACAATACTAGTAAAGTCATGATGACAATGGTACCCAGGATGATTAAGACAATGGCCCAAATGTCCAGAATGTGCTTCGGAAGGGCAAGTTGGGTAGATTCCATGCTCTCCGAGTTACCCATCATCTTCCTGAGTTCTTCCCTAAGGCAAGAAAAAGGGAAGAAAAATTATCAACTAAACAACAACAACAAAACAAAACAAAGCAAAAACAAGTTAGGGTTAGTATGGTCCTCCAGAGATTGCTGAGTTGCAACATCCAGCAATCCTCACCATTGACCATGATGGTTCAGTTAATTCATGGAAAGTTCAAATAAGCATATATTTATTTATTTAGCAATAGCAATAGCACTTAGACTTATATACCACATCACAGTGCTTTATAGCGATTTACAGAGTTAGCATATTGCCCCCAATAATCTGGGTCCTCATTTTACTGACCTCGGAAAGATGGAAGGTTTGAGTTGGTGAGATTCAAACTACTGAACTGCTGCAGTTGGCAGTCAGTGGAATTAGTCTGCAATACTGCATTTTAACCACTGCGCCACCATTGCTCTTATAATGTAAATTTATATATCAGACTTCTTAACTGCCCATCTCCATCATTGAATCTTTTCTTTCCTCTACAGCAGATACAGCCATACTGGGGCTTCTTTTAAGGCAGAGTAGAACATTTTTCAGAAATCTTACATACATTTTCATCTCTATTTATATATTCATACAGTATAAGTGTTTATAGAATTAAATCATTATAAGTAAAAATATCCAGTTTGTACCAGCGAAGTTGTATGAGCCTAATGGAATAGATCACTTTGAAGATAGATACCCACCCTTATACCATATGGAATTTGATGTAATTTGCTATTTGACTTTCTAAAACATTTTTGTAAACCAGATGTCCTCGATACGATGCTCTCCAAAAATGTTGGAATTCAAATTCCAGAATTTGGCCAGTATATTTGTTTGTTCATACCGTTTGGAGATACAGTATTCAAGTCCAATATATCCAGAAGTCAGAAGATGAGCCTACGTAAATATTAGAAGCTATACACAAATCCATGATCATCATTATCTTTCTGAACTAACTAACAATGTTGTGTTCCTTGTATGGGGGATGGGATGCACATGTGTTAAATAAACAAAGAAATCCATTTGTGCATTGTAAGATAAAACAGATGCTTTCATATCAGAATGTCCATGTTTTTCTCTTTTTAAGGAGGCTTGATTTGTTGGATGCTATCCAATTTGCTGGATAGCATCAGGCAAACTGAATGTGTAGAGGGATAGGATATATGACAGAATGACAGAAAGCAGCTTTTAAAGTTGGGTTGCTGTTTATATTCTTATTTTTTCTTCTTCCATTCAATTACGTCCAATTCTCAGAGACTGCCCAGACAAATCCAAGCAGTTGTCTTGGCAAAGTTTTTCAGAAGTGTTTGCCACTGCTTCAGGGGTGGGTTCCAAATTTTTTTACTACCGGTTCTGTGGGCGTGGCTTATTTTTTGGGCATGGCTTGGGGGGGGTAATGTGACTGGATGGGCATGGCCAACTTTTTTTAAAAAAAACTTTTAAAAGCATTTTTTCTACAACCTTAAGAGGTTGCAGAGAAAAATGCTTTTAGAAGCCTCTGACGAACAGGCAACTCATTTGGGATCGCCAGAGGCTTTTAAAGGCATTCTTTTTCCTACAACCTCTTCAGCCGAAGAGGTTGCAGAGAAAAATGCTTTCAGAAGCTTCTGACGATCCCAGCTGTGCTGCACGATCATCAGAGGCTTTTTTTTACTTTTAAAAACATTTTTTTCGGCCGAAGAGGTTGTAGGAAAAATGCTTTTAAAAGTAAAAAAAAAAAAAAGCCTCTGATGAGGTGGGCAGAGTAAGCGAGCGGCGACCGGGCCGGGGACCGGTTCGGGGGCGTGGCTAGCCAATGTTATTACCGGTTCTCCGATCTACTACAAATTTTTACTACCAGTTCTTGCGAACCGGTGCGAACGGGAGCAACCCACCACTGCACTGCTTCCTTCTTAGGGCTGAGACAAAGTGACTGGTCCAAGGTCACCCGGTTGTCTTTGTTCCTTAGACAAGCCTAGAATCCATGGTCCCCTGATTTCTAGTGAGATGCCTTAATCGGGGTCTCTACTCTATATACTAGACAACTACAAAATATTCTTTTCAACAGGAGAATCTTTGGGGGAGTGGAAAACCATGTACTCTGATACTCTTCAATAAATTATGTCGTAAAAGTATTTGCTGTATGTAATTATTATTTTAATTAACCTTTGGTTTTATAATCTGATGGGAAGGAACATTGCCCTTTCAATCCACACATTGCTTTGTAACTAAGCAGTGGAGAGACAGCTGTTTTAACAAGAAAGCCTTCAGGAAAGACTTAACAGGGTTGTTGTTTCGGGGGAAAAATAGGAGAAAATAGGAATATTATGCAGGTTGACTGTTTTGAGTTATTTATAAAAATAATAAAGGCTGGATAAAAATAAATTAAAAAAATAAATTTAAAGAACATATAAAAAGTGGAAATAGATAACTACCTACCCATTCTTGCATAGTTTCTCTTCTAATTGTTTTTGCAAACCAAGGAATGTTTAAAAATACATTCACAAAAATACATATACATCTTTCTTTGCATCATTTTTTTTTTTTTGCTTGTGAGAGGGATATTTTTAGCCATGACCCATTGAAACAAAAGTCAATGCAGCTATTAGTCGATTTGAAAGGATGACAAGTGAATACTGATTGGCTGGTAACTTCCTGTGCTCATCGGTGCTACAAAGGGCAAACTTGTGATCAGGAGTTTAATGTGACTCCTTGACTCAGAAACATAGAGCCATGACTATGTCCACATCATCTCAATATTTGAATACATCTGCAAATTTTGTCTTAAAGAGAGGCACAGAAATGGTGGCCATCTTGAAAAGATCCATGAATAAGATGCATTTCAGAACATTTGATCATTATCTTATCAAGAGCACAAACAATACTAGCCCTTCCTACTATCAGTCACTCTACAGAAAATTGTCTTTGATGCTCTAGATTTGTAAACTGTGACACTACTCCTAGCTAGATGCAATAGTATGTGAGAATCACCTTGAGGGACAAGAAGAAGAGACCCTGCCTAGGAAACAATCAGACAAGAGAGGAGGGAGTCCCTGGGCCTTCATATTCAGAGGATGAAATTTAGGAAGGAAATCTCTCCTACCCATGAATCAAACAGTTGAAAGTGGTGGAGAGAGATTTGTATCTTCAGATTTGCAAGATTCTGTTAATGTAGCTTTACAATAAAGTAGAATTAGCTCATTTAGTCATGCTTCCTGGAAGGATTGACACTAAATCAGGGCGACGTATCTTTGTAATAGTTGGTTTATTTGTGTAAGGCCAGACCCTAGGTTCCGAACAGCAAACAAATACACAAACCCTTTAATTGATATACATGTAATTTTCTTGTCAACAATATAGAAATTTGTTTTCTTCAATTTCCCAGATAATCTACAATTGTAGCCTTCCTAAGTCTTGATACTGTTATTTATTTATTTAGGATCAGCCGGTGTTGGACAGAATAGATGCACTCCAGTTTCCCTCAATAAAATATTGCTATCTTGAAGGGCGAAGGAAGCTGCCCCTGCCTCTGAAGCAGCATGGGGTTCCAGAAAGCCAGAAAAGCCAGCTTTGTTCCCAGGGCTGGGGTTAACTGTTTTGGGGAGACCCCACTGTGTTTTTTGGTTCTGGGATTTTTAAAAACCGTTTTAAATGTATATTTGGATTTTGTAAGTCACCCAGAATCCAATGGAATGGGCTGCCATAACAATGTTTGGCTCGGAATGGGGCAGTTTGCCACAGCCAACCTGTTGTGGCCAACTTGCTGCGGGACTATTTAATAATTCAATTTAACTATTTAAAATAAATAAAACAATATTTTAATTTTTGTCATTCACATTTCATTCTGTCTGTCCTTTTGCATCCTTTCCTTAATGACTGTGTTCCAGCATTTCTTCGATATTAGCGTAACAGTGAGCTATCCCACGGTGAATTGGTTGCAGCAAGTTGACCATGGTGAATTGTCACAGACCCATGTAACTTGTGTTTTTATTTAGTTCAGCATTGCATACCAACCAGGGGCGGGTTTCAAAACCCATCGCTACTGGTTTCCTTGTGGGCGCTCGCACGCTCCATTTCTACACATGCGCAGAAGCGTCTGGGTGGGTGGGCGGAGCCTCCCACCGCCACCACTACCGGTTCGCCCGATCCGGGGTGAAGCGGTAGCAACCCACCACTGATACCAACCATAAGTATTCCTGCTGCTTTAACTGCAACTTCTCACCGTTAAAATTTTTCTTTAAAGTCTTTCTCTGTACGAAAATTAGCAGGGGTTGATATGAATTTTCAACTAATAGAAAGAATATTTTTATTACGTGAACTTCATTATTTAAAGATATTGCAGATGAAAGCAGTTTTAAAATGTAAGGTGAAACTAAATCCATATACAGGAAATGTAAGCACTGAATTAAATAAATGTCATTTCTGGAAAATTATGTAAACAGTATAGGCATATATGTTTATTCAAAGTAAATCCTTTTGATTTCAATGAACTTTATTCTTATGCAGGGACTGCAATTTTCAAACATGCATGGACTGCAATATAAACATCTATTTATTCACTGTCCAGGTTTTTTTAATGGTTTATTGTATTTTTATATACTCCCATCTTTAAAACATATTTCTTCTTCAAATTAATTTACTTCAGATTAATTAAATGAGGCAACTGAGCTTTTAATATGCTTAACACAATATTTTACCCCCTCCAACTCACAACTCATCTAAAACTGAATTCTGCAGTGTCCTCATCACATAGCCCTTGTCTCTTGATGGCTGAAAAAATGTCAAAAAAAGAGGGCATAGACATAAAAATTGATATCAGACTCTGTTTTATGGCTGTTTTGTATTTGCTTTAAAAAACACACTCCATATTTTAGCAAACATGTCTTAGGAAATAGCTTTCCCCAACCTATTCAATAAGTAATTGATTATTTAATACCATATATATAAATAGATATATCTCCTGATTTAAACCCCAAACATTTCTGAGAGAGATCCCATTTTTTAAAAGCTGAGCTTAACATTTATTAAGTTGGTGA